AAATCTGAAAAAGAAATCTAACTTATACTATCAGCATCATCCTTGTCATCCGCTCATCGAGCATTCACGCCCTTAAAAACTTATGTGTTTTTACCATGGTGATTATGTGACAGCAAGTCCCTGCAATAATCTAACACTCCTCCATCTTCTAAACTTATTAAAGTATGATAAAACTTAAGAATAGAAACTACTCTTTGATCTTTAAAAATATATATATATATATATATATATATATATACAAAATGTAACCTGTTTGAGAGGTAAGGCCAGAGTGTAGAATGGCTGAAATGTAGTGAACATAGCAACAAAGATGAGGACAACAGTCTGTACATGGGTCCTTTATTCGTGGATGGACATGCACTGTGGTGGAAGGGATAATGGCCTGGAACAAGGAATTGGAGAGTCGAGTTTAAATTCCAGTCAGCTTCATTACAATCACTTATGTGCAAATACCATTTGGTAAGGTATGAATACGTCTCAACTCTCCCCAGCTATGGGTTGAATAGCAGTACAGACTGTGTGCTATAGCCTTGGTTGGCAACCAGTCTACTGCAAAAAGAAATGTCAACCTCCTGTGGGAAAATCTCCCTAATCGAACATGAATCGAAAGAGACATGATTCCCCAAGGCATGTATCACATATGTCATTTAACTGACTGATTATTCATGTATTCACCTGCAGGGAAGAGGGTAGGTGACATTTCTCTGCTACGTTTGTCCTTTCTCATGACTGACTAACAGACAAGATCTTCCCTTCAGCCAGTGAAAACTTTGACTGCCCCTAATTGTCCATCTCTCTTGCTGTAACCATATTTCTGGCTGACGACTTTCCCCTTTAACCCTCTGCTCTTCTCTATATCATGCATGACTTTCTGACTAACCTATGCTAACTGCAGCACTGCCTATATAAGACTATGACTGGAATTTCTTGCCTTCCTTCCAAGTGGTACTTTATCCCAAAACTTTTCATTTGCTTCATTTCCTTTTTTCCTACTTAGGAAAAAAAAACATTTCGAGTCCACTGGACTTGTGTGTATCATAGCCAATCGAGCAGAGATTCTTTATGTCACATCTGGATTCATTTATGAAGTTATATAAAAAAAAAAAAAATATGAAATGCCTGTGTGAGCAGGGGAACCTCTGAATTTATGGTTTGATATCCCAACCACATTTGTAATTTTTCTTTACTCATCTAATGATAGCCATCAGTAATTTTCCTTTTTCTTATATGTACCTTGTTCCTTCGGTCATAGAAGATCATGGCTCTCCATAACTTCCTATCAATTGTAGCTATTAGTAAGGTTTGTTTTTCATCATTTTTCCCAGTCCCTGCTCTGCCATACATCGACCCAGGCTTTTTAGAGTGTTTATTTGCTGCTTTACTCTGCCCTGTAAGTGTTAAATTTTCTAAGCCCTCTTTCCTCATGATGTAACTCAGAAATTTCAACTCACTCTCTCTTTCTGATTCTAAGTATAAGCATCCTTAAAACTTCCTTCTTACTCACATGTTCAGTCCATGATATTCTCAGCATCATTCTGTAGAACCGCATCTCAGTCGCTTCAAATCTCTTCTTCACATATGAGGAGATTATCCAGTATTCACTGCCATAGAGGAGATTAGATATTACATAACCATCCAACACTCTTTTCTTTGTTTCTAAGGAAACTCGTCAGTAGAACCACATCTCTGTCGCTTCACGTCTCTTCTTCATCTGTGAGGAGATTGTCCAGCATTCAATGCCATATAGGAGATTAGATATTACATAGCCGTCCAACACTGTTTTCTTTGTTTCTAAGAACACTCGTCAGTAGAACCACATCTCTGTCGCTTCAAGTCTCTTCTTCATCTGTAAGGATATTGTCCAGCATTCACTGCCATATAGGAGATTAGATATTACATAGCCATCCAACACTCTTTTCTTTGTTTCAAAGGACACCTGTCAGTAGAAATACATCTATGTCACTTCAAGTCTCTTCTTTATCTGTGAGGAGATTGTCCGCCATTCACTGTCATATAGGAGATTAGATATTACATAGCCGTCCAACACTCTTTTCTTTGTTTCTAAGGACACTCGTCAGTAGAACCACATCTCTGTTGCTTCAAGTCTCTTCTTCATATGTGAGGAGATTGTCCAACATTCACTGCCATATGGCGTGGGTTTGTTATTACTTAACAGTTGTGTACTTTTTACTTTACTCAAACTTTGTAAATCCTTCTGCAATATTTGCTAATATTTGATTAGTAACAATAGATAAAGGTTGGTCCTAAACCTGAAAAAATCAATAGTGTATGAATTAGGGAAGCATTCTCTTGGGAGTCTAATCCATAAAATAGTGGTTTGGAAGAAGAAGCTGGAACTTACTTTTCACAAATATTTAATTAGTAACAATAATAATAATAATAATAATAATAATAAACACTTGCACATGTGAGTAGTGCTCTCTTAACTGCCAGCACCAACTAACCCAAGACCAGGCTCGAGAGCCAATCAAGGTAGAGACTTATTGAATGATGCTGTTTTATGTACATAAGAGGAGGAGGTAAAAAGTGCAGGTTATGAAGTCATGGAGGAAAGACAAAGTTTGGCCCTGAACCTGAAGAGTTGAAGACTGTAGCAATCCGAGAAGCATTCTCTTGGGAACCTGTTTCACAGAATAGTGGTTCTGAGGAAGAAGCTGGAACTTACTTTTTAGAAACTGAATATGAAGGAAATGGCAATGATTTGTTCATGACCAAGTATCACCATTCTCATACAAATTAGCAAAACAACTGCCATGCAAATTTTGCAATGATGTTGTCTATATTGAAAGAGAACCTCCTTCAGACTGTAAATTAATCACAATACAAATCTTACCTCCACCAGACACACCTTCATCAATGTCTGTTTTAATGTTGGTCTGATTTTTTTTCTGTAAGCTGTTACTTATATTCCAAATATAAAACAAATATTGTGATTTGTTCTTTTCCTTTTCCTTTTCGTAGGGGAGTGTAAATTTTGTCTTTTTGTCTTGTCTTTTTTTCTATCTCTCCTAATCTCTTTTCTGCCAACCATATTCCCAGTATCTTTCTATAGAACCACATTTCTGTTGCATCAAGTTTCTTCTTCATCGGTGAAGAGATTGTCCAGCATTTGCTGCCATACAAGAGAACAGATATCACGTCCAGTACTTTTTTTCTTTGTTTCCACAATTTTTTTTTTTTCTTTTTTAAAAGATAAAAAGAGAAAATCCTTTATAGATTTGTATAAATAATAAACTCCCCATTCCAATTTTGCTAGAGTGGACATTGATGGGTTAATTATCTCTCACAAAGTCAGTTCATGTTGCAGATGAGACCCACCTGTTTACCATTGTAAGTCGACATGTTTACAGAAGGTGAAGCACAAGATTGTCCAGCATTCTCTGTCATATAGGAGGACTGGTATTAGGTAACAGTTCAGTACAACAGATAATAAAAAAGGAAGTTGTGGAGAAACATCTTCAAAAGGGCAGGATATTTAAAGAAAGCTTATTATATACTAGCAGTAGAGCCCGGCATTGCCTGGGGATGTAACAGTGAGAGATAGATCAAGTATCGACCATCATAAAGACTGAAAAATAAAATTGACAAAGATTATTATTTAAGGTTGACGGACACGCATGTCTTAATTAGGTTTTTTTTTTTTTTTTTTACGTATTGGTCAAACCCAAACTCAAACAAAAAACATTGTTTTCAAGCATTATGAGTCTACCGATTGAATAGAATTTTATTATAAACAATTGTCTTGTAAATGGAATTTTAAAAGCATTCTGAATGTAAAAATAAAAAAAAAGTGTGCAAGACAATAAGAAACACTACCTGCAAAAAAAAAAGTGAAGTTTTGTTGAAATCGGTTGAAAAATGTAGGAAATCTGATCCCATATATAAACAAACACACACACACACACACACACACACACACACACACAAACAACCTGGGTTTTATAAGTATAACTTGATATGAGTTGTCCCCCTTTCATTCCACAAAAGTGATGCCTCTTAATCTTGTTTTCAAATTGACAAAGATAATTATTTAAGGTTGACGGACATGCATGTCTTAATTAGGTTTTTTTTTTTTTTTTTTTTTTTTTACGAATTGGTCAAACCCAAACTCAAACAACAACATTGTTTTCAATTGTATGAGTCTACCGATTGAATAGAATTTTATTATAAACAGTTGTCTTGTAAATGGAATTTTAAAAGCATTCTGAATGTAAAAAATAAAAAAAAAGTGTGCAAGACAATAAGAAACACTACCTGCCAAAAAAAAAAAAGTGAAGTTTTGTTGAAATCAGTTGAAAATGTAGGAAATCTAATCCCATATATAAATGAACACACACACACACACACACACAAACAACCTGGGTTTTATAATAAGTATAACTCGATATGAGTTGTCCCCTTTCATTTTCGTGATGCCTCTTAATCGTGTTTTCAAATTGATTTTGTGCAAAAAACAATTGTGTTTTTCCAATTTTGGCACTGTCAGAACCACCATAAGGTAATTTTATGTAGTCCTGTGAAGTTTTGTTGAAATCGGTTGAAAAATGTAGGAAATCCGATCCAATATATAAACGTACAGACACACACACACACAACCTGGGTTTTATGATAAGTATGATTATTATTATAGTAATACTTCCTCATTTCGTAATTTCTTTTTTATTTATCACTGAGCAGACTCTAAATTTTCATGTATCATGAATGTTTGTTCTCACAAAGAGATGCCATGTATACTGGGAGACTGCCTCCTCCAGACAGCCAGTTATTCATAATATAAATCTAACCTACACCAGACACACCCTCATCAATATCTTTTGTAAGGTTGTCCTGATTCTTTTCTGCAAACTGTTGCATATATCCCAAATATAAAACAAACATCAAGCTTTGTAGTTTTTTCTTTTCCTTAGGTGTAAATTTTTTAAAAAGTACCATTTCTTGTTTTTCCTGTGAATTGTGTAAAGTTTATGTTTGTCTTTTAGGACCTATTGTCGGCCATGTTGGAGATGGTAACTTCCATGTCTTCTTTCCTGTGATGCAAGATGACCCTGAGGAGATAAAAAAAGTCAAAGAATTATCTGACCGTATGGCAAAGTGAGTGATTTTTCTTCCAATTTTCAACAATTTTCTCAGAAAATTTTGCTTTATATTCCAGGCCCTATTGCTGGTCATGTTGGGGATGGTAATTTCCATGTCATCTTTCTTGTTGACCTATCAAAACCTGATGATAATATAAGAATTCAACATATGGCTGACACGATTGCTAAGTAAGTAGATGCTTAAAAAAGTAGAATTCACTGAGAAAATGAAAAGGTGCATTAGATTAATTAACACTGATATCGCAAAATTTAATTTATCAAAGTAGTGAAACTGTATTTTTCCTTAGAGCTTTGGTACATTTAAAATCACTAAACTATAAAAAACATTTTCCGCTGATATGAAGCGGAAAGATTATACTGAATCAATTGCTAGGTTGGCCGCTGAGAAATTTGGTTCACTGTTTTCTCGCCTGAGTCTATCTTACATATTCATAAGTTTACAATTCGTCCATACATTGAATATTGCTGCCACATATGGCCCAGTGCTCTTGCTATATATGTAGATATCCTTGACAAAAGCCAAAGAATAATCTGCAATGTTAATGGTCCTGACCTGGCATCTTGGCTACATTCAATTTCTCACTGCCACAATGTACCTTCTCTCTGCCCTTTCTATAAATACTTTCATCTTAATTTTTAGATGTAACCATAAGCTCTATGCTAACAGTTTCTTATCTCGCACTTCTCACTTGTGGAACTCTCTTCCAGCCACTTGTTTCCCCTCCAACTTCAATCTTCAGAAATTTAAATGCAATGTCAATCATTATCTTCTGTCTTCTTAATTCTTCTTCTTTTATTGTCCTCTCTCCTTAATAGTAGTTTTTCTCATATTTTCTAACGCCCAGTAACCTCTTGCATCTTAGTAGCTTTATTGCCTTTGATTTTCAATAACTTAAATGCAATGTCAATCGTTATCTTCTGTCTTCTTAATTCTTGTTCTTTTATTGTCCTCTCTCCTTAATAGTATTTTTTTTCATATTTTCTAACGTTCAGTAACCTCTTGCGTCCTAGTGGCTTTATTGCCTTTGATCTTCAAAAATTTAAATGCAATGTCAGTTGTTATCTTCTGTCTTCTTAATTCTTGTTCTTAATAGTATACTTTTGTTGCTAATAGTATACTTTTCTCATATTTATGGAACAATAGAATAATCCAAATAATTTTTCCATTATCTTTCACAATGTATTGTTTCTAAAAATTAATTGAAACAACTGCTTTAGTTTTTTATTTTCTTTCATCATACGGTCAGTTTTAGACCCACTTGTGTGTTCAGGGTGTAATCTATTTTTATTTTTTTCCCAGATTAGGTCATTTGCAGTGGTATGCAGTAATATGAATCTATTTTCGGGGTGTAAGATGAAATTTGTTTGGCATTGAAAAATATTGCGTTGTCTGCGATTACATCAGATTTTTATCACACCCAAACACCATTGTCTTGACTGTTGATTAGTTGTCCTACGGCCATTGTCAGTGATGGACATTACTCCAAAGAGGCGTCTGAAAATTGTAACGCTGCACGAACACATTGGCAAGTCTTACCAGTGAGCAAATCAAAGTACAATAAACTGGACACCACTGCAAATGACTATTCAGAACATACTTGTTGGCAACACTAATATAATAGCATCATCTACATGCAAAAAGGGGTTAAAAATAATGGCAGCCTTATTCCATTCTTTCACTATACAGTCAGTTTTCGACCCAATGGAGTGACTGGGTGTAATTAATTTTATATTTTTTCCTCAGATTATGTCATTTGCTGTGGTGTGTAGTAATATTAATCTATTTTTGGGGTGTATGATGAAATTTGTTTGGCCTTGAAAAATATTTAATCTGTGATTGCATCAGATTTTTATCACACCCAGACTCTATTGTCTTGACTGTCGATTAGTTGTCCTATGGCCATTGTCTGCAATGGACGTTACTCCAAGAAAGCATACAAAAATTGTAACACTGAACAGACTGGCAAGTCATACCAGTGACCGAATCAAAGTACTATAGACTAGCCTGGAAAGTCTCCTGATTTAAATCCAATTGAGAATCTGTCATCAGTCTGCAAGGAATGACTTTGTGGAATGGACATATGAAGTACTAACATGTGCCCATGGTCATATATATAAAAGAAAATTAAATAAAATAGGGATTAATTGTTTTGTTTCAATTAATTTGTGTAAGGCTATGTATGTATGTATGTATATATATATATATATTGTGTATTTAGGCAGAAATCCTTCATTTATGCATGTTTCATTAAAAATGACAGACAAAGTACTATGATTAACCTTTTTATTTAATTTTTCTTGTCTTCGAACAAGCATTTTCTTTTTTGGACACAGAGTGGGTAGAAACTGTCCAAATGTCCTGTAATTCTGAGTGCTTTCGGCTATAATTTTAGTCATTATCCATCTCATTGATAACAGATACAAACTTGTGGAGCATACAGTCGCAACGCTAAGGTTGGATTTTTAAAAATTTATGGGAGAGCGTTTTTTACTAATATGGCAATTTAAAAATTTTTTTGTTGTTGGGGTTTCAGTCAACATGGTATATTTGTTATCAATAACACATTTTGAAAAAAGATATTTCTATTTGCATTATATTTTTTTGTCTCAGATGCTACCTGAATTTTATCAAAAACAAAACCGTTCCATGCCTGATGATGACCAGAGAACCTATCAAAAGTACTTGCATATTTAAGAAAGACCTAATACAGTTTATAATTTTAAAAATCAAGGATCATAAAATTCATTGAGTGGTTAGTGGATTAATGCATCTTTAAAATTTAGTGAGCAAAGTGATTTCGCCATTTTATATCATTAACTTTACTAACTTACTTTTTATATGAATGTTTCGTTTGTAATATAAATTAAACTGCACCACATATTTGATATATATATATATATATATATATATATATATATATATATATATAATGTCTTTTTTGTAACTCTATGTTCCTGTGTTATAAATTAATGAACTTTTTTTTTCAAAAGGCATTAATTTGTTTAGTTCTTGAAAAAGGTCACTGAAACACCCACCAACTCAAGACCAATAATTTGCTTTTGACCATATACATAATAAGGGGAGAAAAATCAAAATCTTTCAGAAGCTTTATTTTTTTTCAATTTGCTAATGATGTAATAGGATAGTAATTATGCATTTTTAGCACATTTAACAGTTTATAGCAGGAGCATAACATACATTTTTTATAAATAATCAAAAATAGATTCTAGAAGATTCCAGAATTTAGAAATTTCATGTTGGGGATGACATTTAAAAAAAAAATAAATAAACTGAATTAAACCCTTCTCCATTATTTTTGAATGAAAATTCATCGAATTATGCTACAGCTAATATATATATATATATATATATATATATATATATATATATATATATATATATATACATGTATATGTTATTGTGTATGTGTGTATTCACATGTGTTTTTGAACATAAAAATATCCTTGCTAGATTAGATAATCGTTACATTTATTTTTTATGTTTATATTTGATTTGTAACCTGTAGTAGATATTAATTTTGTCAAATTTTCTTAATTACACAGCGGCCCTTTCAGTAAATGCCCTTCAGTTTTAGTTTCCCTCGCCCCATCTTGCTCCCCCACCCCTTCTTCTTTTCTTTTCCTTTCCCTCCCTCTTATTCTGATCTTTAACATTAGATCGTCTATGGTGTGTGTATGTCACCACGAAATGTATCTTTAATGTATTAGACATCCGACAACATTCATGTTTCTCTCACTTAAACCTCTTCCACTCACCTCTCTAAAACTTCTCTCTGTTAAGGTTTAATCTCCCACCTTCTCTCATCTATTACCCCTCTCTTTAGCTCTAACATTTGTCCCACACTCTCATACTTACACACTCTCTAAATTCTATTTTTATTTCCGGAGTTGTTTTTTCTGTTTTCTTTTTGAATTTATGGGTCTGATGAATTGGATCGTATTTACGATTCCAATGGAATAAATTATGACCATGAAATATTAGTGTTTAAGCCTTTTTTATTATATATATATATATATATATATATATATATATATATATATATATATATATATATATATATATATATATATATATATAAAAGGAAGAGGTTATAGTAGTTCCAATGAGAGAAAAATGTGTATAATAAAAAGAAAAGAGAAACCGCAAATGTTTTTGGTTGTAATGTGGATTTTTTAAAAAAAATATATTATGTTTTACTTTCCATAATTTTGCTACACGGGTTTCTGGTCTTGTGACCTTCATCAGGCAAAGAGTGGATATTTCCACATATTATTAAAAATAATTAATTTTTCTTATGTTTTTCATCTACAAAACACTATTGTTGATGTACACGAATCAGCTAAGTGACAAATTTTATTTGTATTAATAACTTACAGAAACTCCTCGAATTATGCCGGTGATCCGTTCCTATAAATGATCCTAGATCATTAAATAAGAATATAGATATCTTTCTCACCCTTTCTCAGACCAGTCTTAATTGTTTTGTTAGAATCAGAATTCTTTCACTGCCAGTTCAAGACAGACATTTGGGTCACTAACACAAAAAACAGAATGTCTAATATCGAGAATATTTAACATTGAAAAACATAAGAAAAACTAATTCTTTTAATAACATGTGGAAATATCTACCCTTTTTTTTTTATATTTTAAGAACATCGATTAATGTTCACTGCTGTTTTGCGGGCTTTTTACTTCTTTTGTCCTTTTCCTAAATTTTTTAAGGACACATTGCTGAGCATGCTAAGATAAACTCAGTTTTTGGCTAATATCTCCTGGGAATCCCTTTGTTGGTGTATCAGTAATTTAGGTGCCATGTGTAATACATTCTTAGGCAATCATGTATCTTTTGATACATGACTGACGAGGCAGATTTTTTTTTTCCTGCAGCAGGTTGCTATTTCTTTCTGTGGTAGACTAGATGCCATCCAAGGCTATAGAACCCTGTCCATCCTACTATTAACCTATAGCTGGTG